TGAAGAGCTGAGGGACAGCGCCCAGGCCCAGAGTTCAAGCCCCACGACCGACAAAAAAAAATAAATAAATAAAAATAAATAAATAAATAAGCTGTGTGCTGGTGGCTCACACCTCTAATCCTAGCTGCTAAGGAGGCTGAGATCTGAGGATCATGGTTCAAAGCCAGCCCAGGAAGGAAAGTCCGTAAGACTCTTATCTCCAATTAACCACCAGAAAATGGGAAGTGGTGCTGTGGCTCAAGTGGTAAGAGTGTTAGCCTTGAGCTGAAGAGCTGAGGGACAGGGCCCAGGCCCAGAATTCAAGCCCTACAACCAACAAAAATAAATAAATATCAATAAAAAAGAAGAAAACAGAAAAACAGAAGAAAAAAAGCTAGAGAGCTAAAAGCTCATGTCCACATTGGCTACTGTTCAGAGGTCATTTCAGGTCTTTGCTAGGTGACCTTCTTCATGTAGACAAACACACGAGAAGGCCAAGAGAGGGGGGCGGGCAAGGCTGGCAACAGAGGTCACAGTCTCTTATACCCTATGTAGACTGAGAATCGACACCTGTCAGTTTCCTATATTTCCAGTCATTAGACTTGAGCCACAGAGTCTGGTCCAAGGGGAGGCGGGGACTCAGGACATGGAGAGCAGGTTGTTATCATGGCAACAGGGGAGGGGGAGAACAGGGTGTGGAGGACAGGGTGGCATCATGGGAGAGCGGGGTGGCATCATGGGAATCACGTGTCCTGCAGGTGTCTTTGTGACTCTGTGGATCATCGACCGCTTGGGCCGAAAGAAGACCATGGCCCTGTGCTTTGTCGTCTTCTCCTTCTGCGGACTCCTGTTGTTCATCTGTGTGGGAAGGTGGGTAACCAGAGGGACCGCCAGCCCTTCACCGGGGCTGAGGCTCCAGGCTACCTCCCAATCATCCAGAAGCTCAAGCTCAAGGCTGGGGCCTCAGAGGGAGGCGGGCAGGGGAGGATGCAGAAGATCACTTCGCCCCCAGGTTCCATCCGGTATCTTCCAGTGCAGGCTTTCCCTGAGATCATGTGGTAGTTGTACATTTTTCTGAGTGTGTTAACGTTTGGTGGGTCTTCAATCGACCCCATTTTGCCATCCTGTTTGGATAATTCTCCATTTTTCCAACTTCCAAGACCTGGGCCTCTCCTGCTCCCACGTCCCCCTTTAAAAGTGATAGGAAAGTTTCTTAGAGAAGAAATAAATGGCAGAGGGAGAGAGCATATACACAGCACAGGTATGTCATGGGGGAAGACAGTGCTTCAGCCCATTGCTGCCATCTTGGCCAGCTCCCCCCTCCTCTCCTCTGAGAAGCACCCAGATCAAACCCACTGAGGAATCCATGGGGTCCAGAAGGCTGGGGGACATGTTGTTTCCACCCTGAAACCTTGGGCATGCTGAGACATGTCTAGGATCTCTCCTGGTGAGCAGGACTGACCTAAAATTACTGGCTCCTTGCCTGTCCCCTGTAAGCTCCCTTCCTAGCTTTACTTTTATGGATTTGTTTGGGGGTGCGGGTGATTGAATTCAGGGCCTCACATAACCTAGGCAAGCGATCTGTCTCTAAGCCATATTCTTAGCCCTGGCTTTGACTATTTATATCACACACCCCCATCCTGTTCAACCTGAGCACAGCAAGTGGTCCCGTCTGTCTGCCTGCTGCATTGGACACAGCATAGCCTTTAGAGATACCAGGGCCTTTAGAGATGGCATTGCCATGAATGTGCCTGCCCATGAGCCTGTGAGCTAGCTGGGGGGGCAGGGGTGGGGGAGGTAATCTTTGCCAATTTCTTTTTTTGGGGGGAATGTGTATGTGGGGGACCTAGGGCTTGAACTCAGGGCTTGGGGCATTGTCTCTGAGCTTCTTTTGCTCCAGGCTAGTGTTCTACTATTTGAGCCACAGCTCTACTTCTGGTAATTGTTGTTTTGTGGTGTTTTTTTTTTTTTTCCTGGTAGTTGATTGGAGCTAAGAGTCTTACAGACTTTCCTGCCTGGGCTGGCTTCAAATTGCGATCCTCCGATCTCAGCCTCCTGAGTAGCTGGGATGACAGGTCAGGGGCACCCAATACCCAGTGTCTTTGCCGATTTCTAAGGTGTACATTCTGCCAGGAGAAGGAAGGATTTTGCTGAAATAAACACAGAAAAAAAGAAGAAGAAAACAAAAATGAACAAAACCAAACCCTACTCATCTGGGGTTTTTTTGGTGTTCTTTTTCTCCCCTTCTCTAGAAATGTGCTCACTCTGTTACTCTTCATTGCAAGAGCGTTTATTTCTGGAGGCTTCCAAGCGGCCTATGTTTACACACCTGAGGTAGGAGAGGCGTCCCGGAGCAGCTGTACCATTGTGGGGGGACATGGAGTCCCCAGAAACACCCAGATGGGTTGCTGGAATCCAGGGCAGGCCTTGAAGATTGACTTCAGGGCCTTGTGCTTTACAAGGCAGGCATTCTACCACTTGAGCCACGCCTCCTGCACCTTTTTATATTTTAACATGGATTGTATTCAAGGTAGAGTCTCCCTTTATGCCCAGACTGGCCTGAGCTGTGACCCATGCTCTGCCTCATTGAATTTCCTATTACCATGGCCCCAGTCTGCCACCCCCTGCCACTTACATGGGACGAGTGACACTTGAGCGATTTCCCTGGCTTCAGCTCTGTGGGGATTGGGGCCCTGGGTCCTGAGCTGAGGCGGGGAGGGACTGAGGGTTTCTGGCATTGTCCCCGGTCCACACGTGACTGCCGTTGCAGGTGTACCCCACGGCGACGCGGGCGCTGGGCCTGGGCACCTGCAGTGGCATGGCGAGAGTGGGTGCCCTCATCACTCCGTTCATCGCGCAGGTAGGGGCTTCCCCGGTCCCGAACCCTGAACCTCAGTCAGGGCCTCTGCCCAGCGCTTTGTGTGCATCTACATTACCTTGTTGTACCTAACACTCACCCTCAGGAGGAAAGAAATGGTCCTCACCTGTGATAAAACACAGGCTCAGAAGGGTTACAGAAAGTTGCCCATTTTGGGGGGGGGAGCAATTAAGTGCAAAAGACCCCAAAGATGCCACCGTAGGCAATTTGATACTTTGCACATTGCCAGTGTTGTGCAACCTCTACCTCTATTAAGTGTTCCAAAACATTGTTTGTTTGCTCTTTCCTGTGCCAGTCCTGGGCCTTGAATTCAGGGTCTGGGTGCTGTCCCTGAGCTTCTTTTGCTTAAGGCTAGCACTCTACCACATCTAGCTTTTTTTTTATTTAATAATTTATTGGAGAGAAGAGATTCATGGGCTTTTCTGTCTGGGCTGGCTTTGAACCATGAGCCTCAGATCTCAGCCTCCTGAGTAGCTAGGGTTAGAGGTGTGAGCCACCAGTGACTGGCCCACAATGTTCATAGTGGTCCTGGGAATTGAACTCAAGTTTGTTTGCTGGCAGGCATTCTACCACTTGAGCCATACCTCCCGTCCCTTTTTGTATTGGTTATTTTCTAGACAGGGTCTCACTTTATGCCCAGGTCCTCCTGGACTGAGATCCTCCTATTGGTGTTTCCCTGGGTCACTGGGATGATAGGCTTGTGCCATGATACTCAGCCATTGTTTGAGATGGAAATCTTGAGAACTTGCCTGCCCTGGCAGGCCTTGAACTATAACCCCTTGATCTCTGCCTTCCAGGTAAGCTAGAGTTACAGACCTGAGCCACCACATAGGCCTATTTGTTTTTGAGACAAGAACAAAGTTCAGGCTGAGCTTGAATTCACTATGCAGCCCAGGCTGACCTTGAACTTACAATCCTCTTGCCTCAGCCTCTAAAGTACTACAGGTGTGAACCACCACAGAGCCTTTCTATTCTGTGTTGTTGTGGCTCACTGTACGTCACTGGTTGTGAGCCTGCTGTGAGCTGCACAGTGCTCTCCAGGCGCTCCCCATCTCTCCCCTCACCAGCAAGTAATACCAATCTATGCCCATTTGGCAGAGGGGGACAGGGGAGACAGGGAAGTTGGTTCAGGTCAGGTGGATTAATAAGGGGTCTGAACTCTAAAGCCTCATGGGCCCATGTTCAAATCCTAGCCCCATCTGAGTTGTCTTGCCTGAGCCTTGGTATGCCACTTCATTTAGCACCTCAGTTTTCCCCTCTGTAAGATGGGGAGGGGGTGAAGCCCTCAGCTCATGGAACCATTGCGTGGTACATGCATCGCCTGAGAGAAGACATTCTCCTCCCTCCCCAGGTGATGCTGGAGTCCTCCGTGTACTTGACGCTGGCCGTTTACAGCATCTGCTGCCTCCTGGCTGCCCTGGCGTCGTGCTTTTTGCCCATTGAGACCAAAGGTCGAGGACTACAGGAGTCTAGCCACCGGGAGTGGGGCCAGGAGATGGTTGGCCGAGGGACACAGGGCACAGGTGCCCCCAGGTCGAACTCTGGCTCTCAGGAATAGTGACCGCTGGGGAAGGGGGGGCTGGGTGAGCTGGTCTTTGAGGCCGCAGGGCTGGGAGAGCTGGCCGAGCCCAGTTGGGCCAATCATGGGTCACTGTTGGCTTTAAGAACTCCCCCAAGGACAAGCTGGACCAACAGGGTTTTGCGTGTTGACTGCATTTGTTCCTATTCACTGAGCACTCTGCCTCCTGGAGGCGTTTACTGGGGTGGGGTGGGGGTTCTCTGTGTGTGTGTTGGGGGGAAGCAGCCTGTGGTTCTGCACGGGGGAGGAGCAGAGGATGCTGGCAGCCACAAGGTGCCATGCAGAGACACCTACGAAAAGATCTCTGAAGATCCTTACCCTCCAGACCCCTGCCACCACCAGCTGGATTGGCTTGATAGGTTTCTCCTACATTCTGGCACAGACTTCCTTTGGAATTACAGGTAACTTAGACATGCGGCCTGGACAGCTTTTCTTTGGGTCAGAATTCTCCCCAGTTCAAAGTTCTCCCAGACCTGGCGGGGGCGGGGAAAGGGGGGTTCCCTCCCCCTCTGGCTGCCTCCCAGGACCCTGGCTGGTAGAGACACTGGTAGATAGACTTGCATTTGAACTTGAGCCATTTCCTCACCTGCCCCCTCTGCAATTGCTGTTTGTGGTACTAATTGGGGGGACAAAGAGAGGAAGAGGAGGTGTCTCTGTGGGGAGCTAGGCTGGCAGCAAGTAACAAGCTCAGAATGTGGCTACCCCATCTCCAACCTGGAAATTGGGAACAGAGGCCCGAAGGAGTATGGGGTAGGGGGATAGGGGGAGGTTCAAGTTCAAAGCCATTGTAGCCAAGAGGCAGGCCAGGGCTGCTTTACCCTCTTCCTGCTGAATAGTAATGGCTGGAGAAACAAAATGATTCACTCAGGCTCCAGGACTTTGGATTTTGTGCCTAGGTAGATGGGCAAATGGGCCGAGAAACCTAAACGGTGTGGCAGAGTCACAGGGACCAGGTTGGGCGGCTCAGGATCCCCTGGGGACGAGCTCTCCCAGGGTCTCCACCACCCCACCCATCAAGGGCATCTAGCACTTTCCACAGGCTCAGCTCCTGCCATGGCTTCTAGGACAGGACGCTCTGGCATGAAGAGCAGCAGGATGACCCGAATGGGCGAAGTGTGTGCACTGCAGAAGAGGAGAGGGAGGCCTGGTGGGCGGAGTCAGGAGGAAGGGGTAGGTGCTAAGTGTCTCAGGTCTACACCTACTCCTGGGGCTGGGTCTACACAAGCCTCTTTTTCTGGCCTGGAAAGTTAGGCAGGAGACTCTCCAAAGGAGGAAAGAGGCTGCCCAGTCCTGGCAAAGGCCAGAGGAGACTGAACCCTTGCTCAACCTAAACATGGCAAGGAAGCCAAACGTGCGAACTGCTCATCTCTTATTAAAACACATTGATGGTGGACCCTGCAGGGCTCCAAGTTTGGTCCTTTGTGATGATGATGATGATGATGATGATGATGATGATGATGATGATGTGTGTGTGTGTGTGTGTGTGTGTGTGTGTGTGTGTGTGTGCTGGGCTTAAACCCAGGGCCCCTTCACACTCACTTGGCTATTGCACACAAGACTGGTGTTCTACCAATTGAATCACACTTCCACTTCTGGTTTTTGGTAGTTAATTGGAGATGAATGTCTCACAGACTTTTCTGCCCAGGCTGGATTCAAACAACGATCCTCAGATCTCAACCTCCTAGTAGCTAGGATTACAGGTGTGAGCTACCTGAACATAGCGACATTTCAACCTCAGGTTGTGGCTAACTTTGCCATCTCCGCGAGTTCCCATTTTTCTATCACACACTCTCCAATGAACCAGGAAGCTGAGTGGTTGCCTAGCAATGGTGCATCCTGGAGTCAAATGCAAGCAACATTTCCTTCCAATGGTGCAGAAGCCTGACTTCAGGCTCAAGTCTTAGGTCAGCTGTGACACCTCTTGCCCCTGAAGTAGGAGCTATGGGTTTCTCTGCCCCGGCAGGCAGGCAGGCAGACATAGCTGTGCAGAACTACTTCTGCCCTAACTGCTGCATTTTCTTGAATCATGAGTTGTGGCTTTGATTATTTCTGGACAGCTCAGCTCTCCTGGGGAACACAGAACTTTTGCTGCCTCCTCCTCTTCCTCTTCCTCCTCCTCCTCCTCTTCTTCCTTCTTTTCTTCCAACTGGTCAGACAGTGCCAGATGATCACGCCTGCTCCTTCACTTTTAAACCACTGGGCAGGCTGAGGTTTGGTGGGCAGGAGTGTATCCCAGGGGCTGGGATGAAATCGGTGGTGTGGGGGCAGTGCAGTTTTTTTTCTTTTTCCTTTCTTTCTTTTTGGTCGGTCCTGGGGCCTGAACTCTGGGCCTAGATGCTGTCCCTCAGCTCTTCAGTTCAAGGCTAGCACTCTCCCACTTGAGCCACAGCACCACTTCCAGTTTTTTTCTGCTTATGTGGTGCTGAGAAATCGAACCCAGGGCCTCATGCATGGGAGGCAAGCACTCTACCACTGAACCACCTTCCCAGACCCCGGCAGTAAAGTTTTCTACCAAAGAAAAAGAAGTTTTGTTTTTATTTTAAATTTCTATCAACATAACCTGCCCTTTATTTTAAAAAATCAATATTATTAATGGTGTAAGAACTCCCACAAAGGTTTCTCAGGCCTCTGGAATGCGTTTAGCCTCGTGCTAATCATATTTATGTCTAATTCTGAGCACTCTTGTTCAAAAAGGTTCCTGTTCCATTCACGGAAATGTCAGACATTTCTTTCTATGATAGAGAAGATTTTGGGACATGTTAGAAGATGTTGAGAGTAGCATGGGTTCTATATTCCTCTCACATCAAGCACTCTCAACAGCACAGAAATGGCTTCAAGCTGGGTGCTGGTGGCTCTCAAGAGGCTGAGATCTAAGGATCTCAGTTCAAAGCCAGCCTGGGCAGGAAAGTCCGTGAGACTCTTATCTCCAATTAACTACCGGAAATGCCAGAAGTAGAGCTGTGGCTTTAGTGGTACATGCTAGCCTTGAGCACCAAAGCTCAGGGACAGCACACAGGCCTTGAGTTCAAGTCCCAGGACCAGCACAGAAAAGAAAGAAAGACAGAAAGACAGAAAGACAGAAAGAAAGAAAGAAAGAAAGAAAGAAAGAAAGAAAGAAAGAAAGAAAGAAAGAAGGAAAAGTATCTTTGTTGTAGATCTTTCCAAAACCTTTAATACATTAGTGTGACTTGTGATCCAATTACTTAACCTTAGCTAACCTCATTTTTTTTCTCTTATGCCTCTGAGCAGCTGGCTTCTTTGATTTTCTGAGTTGTTCCTTTCTTCTGAGAACTTGTGGGATTAGAGCTCCAATTGTCCACAGTCTCAGACCCAGAGACCTAGGGGTGCCATCAGAGGGGATGGAGGGGGGCTGGATTTCCCTCCAATGATGGCCTTGACATTTCCTCCAATCAGCTGTCACCTTTGTGCAGGGAAGCCAGGGATGGGGGCTTATCGGGGCACACTGTTGATTACTAGATTGAGGGGTGTGCGGAGTCCTCGTGGTCACAGAAAAGTCCTCAGAGGTTGGATGGTGGCATCCTGCACAACTTCTTTTCTTCCAGAACTTTCCCAAAGAGCTTGGCCACCTCCAGGGCACAGCCCCAGTGAATTGTGAGCCCGTAGCCACCGTGGCCATAGTTGTGGATGACCTGGGAGAGACAAAAACAAATGGTAGCCAGGTTCTGGGAGCCAGTGATGGTTTACTTCCCTGGGAGATTCAGGAACTTTCTGAGGCATCCTGGGCTTTCCTTGGTGGTTTGGGGAATCTTGGGTGAGCCCCTGGGCCCAGCAATAAGGGGCCCCGGTTCTGTGTGTGGAGATGGAGGACAGCACCCCAGGCTTTTGCCTTGTGGGTACAACATGGGCCTCGGGTCACAGAAGTATCTGCTTGGGGCAGATGAGCCCACCGTCCCCTGGACACAGACGAGGAAGTGTCACTTCAGGAGCCAAGAGTGGGCCCTGTTGCCCTGTCCGGACCTACCTCTGTACTTGCTGATCCTGAGCGAAACCATTCTCTTTCTAGTCGGATCTGGGGACGAACCGGCCGGAAGCCAGTAAATTCACCAACAATTCTTGCTTTCTGGAAAGAAAGAAAAAGTTGGCCATTCTGGCTCTGGATTGTTCTTTTCCTGCTGTCACGACGATGAGGTGGTCCGGAGTTAGCCTTCAGAACCCCGTTGCCATGGTTACCAACACCTTCCCCTCCCCTCTGCCTATTAATCCCCATTTTCCTCAGCCACCACATCCCTCTCCATCACTGCTACCACCGCTACCACCGCCCACCTGTCAGCTCCTCCCTCTACCCCAGCCCCCACCATCACCACTGCCAGTCTGATCAACAGCCTCTTTGGTGACCATTATCATCAACGCCAACCACCACCGCCATCCCCCCCTTCCACCCCGCCATACCACGAAGCAGGCCAACACCAAAACAGACTTCCACAATAAGTGCACCAGCTCACCTGCTCCTTGTGAAGACAGACTAAGATGTTTTGGTTTGGTTTTGTTTTGTGTTTTGGACAGGTACTGGGATTTGAACTCAGAACTTCATTGCTTGGGAGGGAAGCTCACTACTACTTGAGCTATGTACCCAGCCCTATGTTGCTTTAGTTATTTTTTTCAAATACAATCTGGGCTTTCTGTCCAGGCCAATTTGGACTGCAGTCCTCCTATATGCCTTAGAATAACAGGCCTTTCCCTCTGCCTCTGCCTTTTTATTGGTTGAGACAGGGGAGGGGGGTGGAGTCTTATGAATTTTTTGCCTGAACGGATCTTAAACCATAGTCCTCCCCATCTCTGCTTCCCAGGTTCCTAGGATTTCAGGTGTGACTCATAGAACCCAGCTCAGACTGAGTTGTTTTAGAGATGTTATTTCAGGAGGGGTCTTTTTCCTCATGGCCAGTTACATTCATCCATCGGAGGAACAATCTCCCTGTACACTATCAAATTCTGGCAGATGCCCCAGCTCCTTGCTGGAA